CCGGGGGGGGGGGGGGGGGGAGGAGGAGGGCCTGGCCCCTCTTTCCTCGCTTCCGCTCCTGCCCCAGGGCGGGAGGGGCGGGGGCCGGCGAGGAGCTTCTCAGAGCATGCGCAAAAGCGGGCCGGCGTGGGGCTTCTCGGAGCATGCGCGACTACGCCGGCGCTCCAGCCCCGCCCCGCCGGGGCCGCGCTACCGGAAGTGCAGTCGGGCCTTGCATAGAATCTCCCGGAGCGGTCGGTCAGCCTCGGTTCGCGGCACGTGGCTCAGCACGTGGCCGAGTGCCTGACCCCGGGCACCCTGGAGCCGCCGGCCTCTGTCGCGGAGGCGGTGTCGTCCCTGACCATCGCCGACGCGTTCGTCGCTGCCGGCGAGAGCCTAGCCCCGCCGCCCCCGCCGCCCCCTCAGAGGTTCATCTGCTCCTTCCCCGACTGCAGCGCCAATTACAACAAAGCCTGGAAATTAGACGCGCACCTGTGCAAGCACACGGGGGAGGTAACGAGGCCGAAGGCGTGGCCGCGGGGGGCGTGGCGTCCAGGCCAGGGACTAGTGGTGCGGTGCGCGCCAGGTGGGCGCTGCCCGAAGGTCCCGCGCGTGGGTACGCAGACGGGTTCAGCTTTGGCCCCCAGGACCGCACAAACGAACCAGCCATGCCTTAGGGCAGGGAAGGATTGGGGAGGTAGACAGGGAGTTGTAGGACCGAGATATCCTTCCCGTGGGCTCAGGGCTCACTAAGCAACACTTTCCCCTTCTCTGACTTTGAGTGGTGGCCAGTCACCACGTCCCCATAACATGTAAATATTTGCAAGGTTGGAATACTCCGTCACACGCCCGCCCCCAACCTGCCTTAAAAGGCCCCGCCTCCTGGGACCGGAATGGAGAACTTTAAGAGTACTGGAGGTTTGCAAGCAGCATGTGTTCGTTCATTCATAGTTCAGTACCGTCCTGGCCCGGAGAGCAGCAGTTACGACAGGCAAGGCTTCTGCCGTCAGGGACCTTATGCTTTAAGCGGGAGGACAGCGGAATAAGTAGGAATGCGACGCAGTGAAGAGAGGGCTGCAGGAGGGTGGTCGGGAGAGGCCTCCCTCTTGACCTGAATGAGAAGGAAAGGTCCCAGCCCTGCAGACATTTGAGGGAGAAACAGCCGGGGCAGAGAGAACTGCCAGAGGAGCGTGTGGTCCTGAGGGTGGACGCCGGCCAATGTGATTGGGTGGGGGAACCATTCATTCAAGGGGAGCTTGAGGGGCACGCCTGGAGGGTTATTTGTAGGCCAGGGTACCAATGGGTTTAGAGCCTGCGTTTTGTTTTGAGCGCAATAGGAAGCCTTTGGAAGGTGACAGGTGAGCAAACGGCGGCTCATGGAGGCCTAGGAATTGGCCAAGTTTCCCGGGATTTGGCAGTCTGGCTTCTCAGGGCCTCAGCCCAAGGCCCTTAACCAGGGTGCTGCAGCTCCTGCCTCCGCTCCTAGCACTTTCCTGACTTACAGGTCATCCCTCCGTGTGTCCTCACGCTGCCGTCCCCCTTACCCCTGCAGCATTTGAAGGCTGACCATTCCCTCTCCGGGACCTTGTCCCGCTCACTGACCCTTTCCCCTGGCTCCTCTCCCGCCCTCGAGGTTCTCCATGTGCCCCACTCTCTTGGCTTCTTCTTACCCCGTGACTGGCTTCCTTCGTGACATGCTTTATGCTTCCCCTTCCTCTCTTTCCTCTCGCCTGTTCAACCCCCCTAAATTCTGGGCCCTGTTACCAGAATGTCCAGATTGAACCTTACGTTTCCTTTCAGACTCGTGGGCTGTATTTAGGATATTGGCACTCCCAGCTTCCTTCACACAGGCTAGAAAACTTGGAGTCGTGTCATCCCAAATCTCACATTAATTTGACAGATATTTTTCAAACGTCCTCCATGACGGGTTGTGCAGAGTTCTGTGCACCTGCCCTGGTAACGCAGCTCTTGTCTTCCTGTCCACCTGCTTTGCTACCAGTAGCGTCCTTTGAGGCCTTGGTACGTCCTTCCTGGACTGTTCTGGGGCATGTTTTCCATAGTTAAGTGCACAGAACTGGTTATACGGGGGACATGTTTTGGCTTTTCCTATGGGTTCAGCGTGGAGGCCCTTCCTCCCAACTGCTGGGTCCCACGTGGTGGTTGCACTTCGGGTCGTGAGCTGCGTGTGTCCGGGCACCTGTGAGCTTTCTCGGATGTGACACACTCTTCTGTAGCTGTGCCGGGCGTTCTCTGAGCAGACAGTGGGCTCGTCCAGATGAGACCGCCCGCCCTGGGCTCTGAGTGGATGCGGAGATGCTGTGCGGGGGGGAGAGGGTCAGCGCGCAGGCCGCGCTGAGAGCCAGCAGGAAACCTTTAAGGGGGTCGCCGCTGAAGCCTGGTGTAGGTTAGGAGCAGGTTCACAGTACTGTATGGTCACTGTGAAGGCTGCCCGCTGGTTTCACATGGTATTCCTAGAACAGAATCTGCTGCAGTGACTTTGTGAGCAGCTGCGGCATTTCAGTTGTCGCGTAACCCCAGGCGGGAGATCCTTGCCTGGCCTCCGGTAGCAGGTGCTCAGCACTTACTGGGTGGAAACCACCTCTACAGACAGAGTCCATGGCTTTGCCCATCAGATAGTTTAGGGCTTGAAGTAACACCAGAGCCACTGACACAGGCAGGATTGACGTGCTTTTTGTCGCCTTCCTGCTAGAGACCGTTCGTTTGTGACCATGACGGGTGCAGCAAGGCCTTCGTCAGGGACTGGCACCTCAGCCGCCACGCCCTGGTTCACACTGGAGAAAAGCCCTTTGTGTAAGTAGAGAACTGTCTTCAGGCCTCTGAAGTGGGTGGCGTTTGGCACAGAAAATTGGCTGATGACCTTCGAGGTGAAGAAAGCGGAGCTGCTTTCGCCTGCATCTCCTGAGAGGGTTTTTGA